ATACTTGATTGTCGGATCTCGTGGGGGTTCCACGTTGAGTGTTTGTGCAATAGATTGCGAAGGAGTAGCTATGGCTTGAAATGCTTAGCAAAGCAGTGCAGTAAACGAATTTTAATAACTTTATACTATGCCACTGTCAACTGTCATATCCGGTATGGTATCCTCAATTGGGGAAGTAGTTCACTAACTGTAAGAGTTCTCCTGCTGCAAAAATATGCCATTAGAATTATTGATAACCTTGGTTGGCGCCAATCCTGTAGAGAATCCTTTAGAACACTAAAGATGTTGACTGTTATAGGTATTTACATTTATGAGTTGGCTTTGTTTGTTTTCAAAAATAAGCGCGAATTTGAAGTCATCAAACACCAGCATGAATATCCAACTAGGTCTAAGCTGCTTTTAATCCCGCCGAGACATCGAACTACGGCATACCAAAAAACATGCAGGTATATGGGATGTAAGATTTTTAATAAGCTCAATGATGATATTAGGAATGAATCAAATATAGCTGTTTTCAAAAGAAAACTAAAACTTTTTTTGATAGACAAATGTTTCTACACCTTGGAGGAGTTTTTTGTTTAGATCTATGGTTTTATACTTTTTCAACTCGTCACCACTATTTTTATGACCTTTTCATTTGTTATAGAATTTTCTGTTCTATTCAACAATGAAATAAATTATTATTATTTTTATTATTAAATGGTGAAGTCGGGGCGGCAGCATCCAAAACTTATTTGGGCCTCGTATAGAGTGAGGAGGTCATGCGGAAAAACGGATCCTTAGCCCTAAACAACCAGCTTTTTCAAGAAGCTGCCGCTACAGACGAGATGTGTATCGTGCCAGATCAAGTCCTCAGAAATCTGAACTCCGACCTGCTGAAATAAACGCTCTTTGGCAGAACTCGGCCATCCATCAAAACCGGATGAGAGCTAGGCCGCTTTTTGTTCGTCAAGGTACAGTACTACGTTTTGGAATCATTAAACTGTACAAGATTGTTGCATCCCCAAGCAGTGAAAACCTCCGTCAGAGAGGAAGTCGCTGATAGTTTTTTTCCCCAACTCGCTTGTCGATCTGAATTCCTGCATGTAGAGTGCTGTCATCAGAGAAGCTGTGGATTAGGTTGGTCGTACAGGAAAGGAGGTCATTGTAGGAGGAATGTCTACCAATAGCATTTTTTTTTAATTTTGTGTTATATCCACAGCACCCGTCCTAACAGTTAAATTTTACACCACGATAAAATGAAATAGCGTAACTTAGTTTAATGTCTTTATTATTTATAAGACCATAAAGTTATATGAATGTAAAATAACCTAAGTACGAGAAAACATCTTTGCAAAATTTGTAAAAAACATTGGTATATCCTTAGAGTCTACCTAAGTTCTTATTTTGTGCATATCCTGTTCCAATCTCACCATATTCAAACACTGAGTGCCTCAAATATGGTGCTGTCAAACTTGACAAACTCTATTTTTTATTTGGACTAGCTATTCCGCATTTTATAGCCTAACAAGCACTTTTTAAATGTTATGGGGTGCTTATCTAATGACTAATACCATCTAATTTATAGTATAATGTATTAAGACATTTATATGTTCTATACTCAAAAATGGTTTGTGTATTCCGAGCTCAAAGTATCGTTTCGCGCCCAAACATATTTTTCGAACGGCAAATACTTTGCACACGTAACGAATTCCCGAACAATTTATAATGTAACTTTACCGTTACAGCATCTACACTTATACACCAAATGCGATAAACTATACTTTTAAAAATGTTCAAAAAAAAAGTTCTAGGAGAGACATATTTAATAGCCCTTTGCGGCCAAGTGGTCTTCTGAGGTGACCACCAATTCTCAATTTACTTGGCTCCTAATGGTATTCACACCTTACCACTAAAATATGTAACTGGTTAGGCTTTTTCTCTGTAATGAAATAATAGCCAACAAAATAGCTCTGCTGGTGGCAATAGTTGGTATAGTGACACACACACATACCTCATATAAACATCCAACTTGAGGTATGGAACACAGCAATGGTTGTTTTACTGACTTCCACCAAATAATGGGACGTTTTAGGTGGTCACTCATTTATAACTAACAATGATAATTCATTTTGATCTCGGAGTAATGTATTTCAATTCTCGAGGATACATCCAACACCCATGAATCAGGTCAGAAAGAAAGTCATGTCAAGTTTCCGATGACTTCACATTGTAAGTACTTTTCTCATTGATATTATCATTGTTTTTATTGTCCTTCGATATTCTTTGAAGTATGTCCTGACGAAGAAATATACATTTCCCAATATTTGACATGAACACAGAGCGTACCTTCATGGCCTCATTCTTTCATGTTGACTGCATCTTCGATATTGCTTATTTTGCATCTCAACTAGTCAGCCAAGACTAGCTTCCTCCTCTGTCAAAGATAATATCTAATCTTTGACATATTTATATTGTACATGCCAGTTTCGTAGAAGTATTGCGATTTATACTATGTATGATAACTGGCTGTGTAATATCAGTGGCAACATACTGTATAACATTTGAATGTTCATTTTATACTCACTATTACTGATTCAATGTATCATTATAAAACGGTAAGCCTGACCGCAAAGGCTTAAAGTGAAAAAATTTATGAAAAATTGTAAAATGAAAAATCAAATGCTTGGGCGAGAGGCCCAAATAAAAAAATGAACCTATTAAAATCAAGGGCGGAGTTAGAGGAAGCGAGGGAGGCGCATCCCCCCTAGATGCCCATTGTTTTTCAATAATATGGCATATATTGTTGTATCTTGGTGTACAAATTACCTTGATAGACCTTAATCGTGAGATGTATCCCTCTAGACGTATCCCTTCCCCTCTCTTCAATTCACACGAAGACATTTGCTCTCAGAAGCGCTGCTTAAGTGTTAAGCACGCATTTTTCAATGTGGAATAAATATCTCCCTAAGTATGAATGCTGCGACTACCGCGGCTCCTCCCTCGCTTAGACAGTTTCCTAAATTCGCCCTTGCTTAAGATGTATTTGTTGCAGTAAAAACTCATAATCGGTTGAAAGCACTTTTGACCAAAAGTGGTTTTGCCTGACTTGGTGTTCAGAATATAGATCAAAACTCGTAATAAGTTCAGTTAGCTACTGAAAATTACCAGAACAATCATCAAAAGTAAATCCAACTGTTTTTAAGGTGTAAAGCTCAAGTTTTTTGCTCATACAAAAATTGACAACGTACCTGACCGACCTGCAAATTATAACCAGTTTTTTGAACCAGTTAACGCTAACCAAATGAGCTGAAACTTTGTATACATTTTTGTTTCTCGTAATGATACATAATAGATTATCTGTAGTCAATTTGAATCCAATATGGCGGATGCTACAAAATAGTGATTTGTCAATAGATATCGAATGAAAGGGCTTGATAAGACAACCATAATAAGCAATGTAGCGTCATTTTAAATCAAATATGGTGGATTTATAACTTCCATAATCGCCCCTATGATATGGGTATCAAATAAAAGGACTGGATATATGCAATAAGCGTGACGTGATGCTAAATACAACATGGCGACCGCAGCAGGATGGCGCTTATGATTTCCATAGTCAGTCAAAAGTGGCATTGACCAAGGGCATCGGTCGAAACCACTTCTGACCGATTTTTGAGGTGAAAAGTGCTTTGGACCGATTATGATTTTTGACTGCAACATACCTAGAAGTAACACGCCAGAGTGACACAGGAGGTAGATTGGCTTCGGATCAATCAGATAAAAATAACATGACCTCAGTAAAAGTTCTCTAGTTTTCAAGGTGTTGCCACCTTTGAGAAAAATCCCTACTTTTTGCTCCTTTTTTGCCTGTAATGGCTATAAAGAACCTCTTACTTATGATTTTTTTCCTGAGCAACCATTAACCGTTGGTCGAGACAACCAAGCATTCATTTGTTTGAAAACTAGCACGATATGCTAAAAAAATAATTATTACATTTTGTTTCAATGTGAGCAGCTTTACTAAAGTTTCACTGTGAAAAAAAAATGTAACTAACTGAATCGACAAATGATCTTAAGAACTTACCTATTTAATGCTCTTTTAAGAATACTATAAAATTTGTAGGTTCTTTCTACTAAAAATTGAAGAATTCCAAGTTTTGTCATTGAAGTCATAATACTTGCAATATATTACAGATAAAAAAAGCCGTCTTTTGTATCCAAATCGGTCGGTAGCATTATGTCACCACGAGAAACTTTTACCATACCGTGCTAGTTTTCAATGGAATGAATACCACGAATTGTAGCCCAGGAAAAAAAATATGTTACGAATTCTTTATAGCCATAACAGGCAAAAAGGGAAAAAAAGTCATTTTTTGAAAAATCTTAAGAGTGGCAATATCTCGAAAATTACGAAACTTTTACCAAGGTCATGTTGATTTTATCTAATAGATCTGTAGCTAATCTACCTCCCGTGTCACTTTGGCGTGTTATTTCTGGGACACCCTGTATACAGGGTGTCTGCAAAGGGTTGGAAAATCTAGAAACTGGAGATACTACAAACCAAAATATTTGAATTGACCTAAATATACCTCAATCCAAAAGTTGATAGTTTGCGAGGTACCTGGTGTCAAAGTTACAATTTTATTTTATAATTTTCCTTATTCCTTGAGAAGTATTTCAGATTTTATCATAAAACTCGTATGAGAAACAAGAATCCGTTATTTGTATGGCCAAACTTCTAGAGTGCGCCGCTTACAGCACTATTTCGGTAAATAACTTATAACTTTATTGTGCTACCCTGTATATAACAACTGACGGAAAAATCTTATTTCTTCTCAAGCAATAAGGAAAAATAGAAAATAAAATTGTAACTTTGACACCCTGTATCTCGTAAGCTATCAACTTTTGGAATGAGGTATGTTTAGGTCAATCCACATATTTTGGTCTGTAGTATCTCCAGTTTCGAGATTTCCCAACCTTTTGCAAACACCCTGTATACAGGGTGTTATTTACGTACGTGGCCAAACTTCAGGAGGTCATTCTTTGAGTAATTTTAAGATGAAAAGTTCATATAAGCATAGGTCCAGAAATGCTTGATTTTCAAAATACAGGGTATCAAACTTCTTTAAAAAATTCAGTTTTTCCTAAATATCTTAATGAACTTTCAGTCAATTTTGTTCAAATTTAGCAGCGGTATTAAGGGCAGTATGGGGCTAATTCATCTCCGATTACATTGAAATTATTAAGTCTAGCGGGGTTCCGAAAATCAATATCTTTTACAAAACATTTGTGCGCCACTGACTTTTCCCATTTTATCTATTTTTTTCGAATTAAACATCTAAAAATTCAACCTTTTCGTCTTCTGCATATAAAAAGCATTGATAATTAAGTAACACGAAAGTCATCTTTTGGCTTTTTTTGCTCAGATTATACCTGATTTCGATAAAACGAATAAACATAAAATATTTACATGACGTTATTTATTGTTGCAATGTTTTGCCAATGGTGTTGCACATTGGTAACGCTGGAAATTAAAAAAAAACGGAGAATCGTCTTTTTAAAACCACACTTAAAATTTTATTTCATTGAAAACATTTAACAGTAAATAATACGAGACTTATAATAGTTGCTGAAAATGCCCTCCTTCAACTTGAATACAAGCATAAGCTCATCTTAAGATTGATTGCCGAACTCATTGAAATATTCCCGGCGTATGTCTTATCTGATCACATGGATCTCGTATCCGTTGGGTTCATTCTTCTTTAGTGTTGACTGGAATTGTGTAAACGAGGGACTTTAAATGCCCCAAAGAAAAAGATCTAACCGATTTAAATCTGGTGACCTGGATGGCCATGGCTGTGGACCTGCGTGTCCGATCCAGTTTTCTCCAAAAGTTGCAGCCAAGCACTGGTACTATGCTGAAGTGAGATGGCACCCTTGTGTTGCTCTTACCTCCTAGTAGTTCAGGTAAAATAAGTTCCAAAAACATGACGATACTCTTGACCATTTAATCTCGGGGGTGAAAAATAATTACGATCATTACTTACGCACTGCTTTAAGTAAATTATGTCAAAGTCAGTTTTTTTTAATAGCAGTTGTTTTCATGGCACTCTTATTTTTGGTTACTTTTAAAGCTTTGCTATTACGTTATGCAATTATTTTATGTTATTTTGTTTTATCGAAATAAGTTTTAAATATGTGCGAAAAATTCAAGAGATGACTTTCGTCTTATGTTAATTGCTTAATTATTTTGGTGGTTTTAATGTTTTATTATGTTATCGTCCCAGGGACATGCGATAAAGTGCTTTTTATTTTTTATCTCGCAAACGAAGCGAGATATGACAGAAACCAACACAGACAAAAAAATGGTATTTTTAGCCGTTTAAAAAATATAAAAATTGAAAAAAGTCAGTGGCGTACAATTTTTTGTCAAAGATATTGGCTAGGGTGTTTTCCGGGACGCCACTGAACTTAATAATTTCAATCTGTTCGAGGCTATATTAGCCCCTTACTGCTCCTTAATGACACTACTAAATTTGAACCAAATCGACTAAAAACTTATCAAGATATTTAAAAAAAAAATGTATTTTTTAAAAAAAGTTTGACACACTGTATCTTCAAAATGAAGCATGTCTGGACCTATGTTTATATAAGCTTTTCATCTTAAAATTACTCAAAGAATCATCTCCTGAAGTTTGGTAAAGTACTTAAATAACACCTTGTATCGGCGGCAATCTGATTTTTATTATAGCATTCGGATTTTCATCGATGGCCTCGTGGTCAGTGTTGTTGATGATAACCCTTCCGATATGTGCGATGCAGACCTGTAGAAGCGAACCTTGAATGTAAGCACGTATTTTTGGAAGAACTTTGAGTGTAAGCACGTATTTTTAGAATTATGTATAGGCTTTAGCTGAAATGCGCGGGTTATTATTTATGCATATACTACATTGCTTGCTGTGCGAATGCAGAGTAATCCGACCACTTGACAGTTGACCGTGATGATGCGGTGCGACATCTCTGTGCATAGCGCAGAACGTCGAGCGGTTATGACCTAGAGAACGTAAGCTCTATCGCGTTCATCGTATGAGATGAGGATAAAAATCAGCCTGGCAAACTATTGGTAGGCGAAGATCGACAGATTTTCACGTACTTTGGCACAAGATAAGCTTTCTTGTGCAGTCTATAGATAAGTGACGTTATTTTAGGATATCATAAAACAACAGTTCATGATGTTCTAACCATTTGTCGTTTGACAACACATATTTGAAACACTGTATATGTTATAACTTATCTCTATCCAATAGTTGCGGTGCAATTTAAGACATTAAAATACACGAATATATCTACAAGTAATTTACCATTTTATTCTTTTCATACAAAGATCTCATTTGATTGCAAAGTGTACTTTTTGATCTAAATTTCCCAAAAAAATCACAGAGTGTCTATGGTACTTCATCTTTTTGCAGTAGAAAATGGGTATATGGTTAAGAAAAAAGTACAAAGGGATCGATTAACGTTACAATAAGTAGTACACATTTTATACTTTTTAATATCAATTTTTTTTTCACTTAGTCATAACGTTATATTTAATAAATTCATGTGAAAAAGCTCCAAGCCTAAAAACAAATACCCTATTTCTTACAGAGCGAAATTTTATAATACCAATATTTCCGAAGCAAATAGGATACGAGGTTTTAGAAGCAGGTTACAAGTCAGAGCTGAAAGGCCGTAAGAAGATATACCTCCAGGTCAGGTCCAGACTAAGTCATCTTGACACATCTTAACAATTGGCTCTCTGACCAAAAAGAGCGTATGATTTCTGCCTTCAAAAGAGGGCCGATTTCCCATCGACCCGACAAATAGATACAAAAATTGTGCTTATGAGACAAATGTACCAGAAATGACGCCTCAGACGTTCTGGCAACGAGTGCAAAGATGAAAGTTATCGAAAAATTCTTTCCAGCTCATCAGGTGTCTTCGACTGCCGGCTATGACTGTATAAGGACGTGCCAACGGAAGATCTGCTCCTGTTGGTACTCTTTCATGTCCATCCAATGTTGCAACTCTTCGGCGCCGCTGGAGTTCAGACCCAGACTGAACCAGCCGACCATTTCTTTCTTCTTGGTCACTCCTTTGCGGTTGTAGACGACTACCATTAGTGTGACGTCCGCTAACTGGAACAATGCCACCTGGAAGAAAAGACGTCAAGTAGGATGACTTGGTAGTTACCACAAATTGATATAATTTTTTTTTAAATTTAGTTATAAGAAAATTGTGGAAAAAATTAGAAGATACAGATAGATAGATAGATAAATAGTCTTTATTGTCTTTTGATCATAAATAGCTATGACATAAGACTTGTCAACATTACATATACAATAAGTATGCGATATGCAAAAAAGAAAAGGTAGTTAATTAAAACAGTAATTGAGATAATAAATAATAAACAAATAAGTAAATAAAATAGGAGTCATTACAAACACAAACAAATTCTTAATGACATCTAACGAACATGAAATAAAAATCAATTTTAAATAAATAAAAACAATTGAGCACTTAAAATGTCTAGAAGAGGAGCAATAAATAGACTGCTTCTTTTCCGTTAAGCTTAATAAATAAGTAAAAAGAATAAATAAATAAAATTAAGCAGTTAGGTATTCGTCGACGGTGTAGTAACACTTTTCTGATAGATATCTTCTCAGATGTTTCTTTAATGTCAACATATTAGTGCTTCTGCGGAACTCAATTGGTAGTTTATTGTAAATTTTTGTACAGGCATAGAGTGGTGATTTCTGAAACTGGGCTGTTGCGTGGACTGGTATACTTAAATCAGAACCTATTCTGGTGTTGTAGTGCCTGTTAACTGTGTTGTTTTGAATAAAACTGGTCCTATGTTTAAATGCGAAGAGAGCGCATTTATACAGGGTGTCCGCAAAGTTGGGGTTTTCCTTTTCAGAAACAACTACCCTTGAAATAACAAAGGTAATGTGTAGTGAAACGAGGGCGACCAAGTAAAAAAAAATAAAGGAAAAAGTACTGACTGTCCAGTTGACGAGAAAGGCTAAGTACGTCTCTGCCCGAAATCATACCGCTCCAACAGAAAATGAAATCAGCTAATGCGCTACCGAGCAGACGCAGAAACCACATTGATTGTCTTACACTTAATGGCACATCTTCTAACAAGGAAGGCAAAATGTTGCGTAAAAAGTCTAGGTATTGCATCCCGTAAAATCGATTTGGGATAATAAATGGTCCAATGAGCATACCGTTCACCATGCCAGCCCAAACATTCACCGAAAATGTTTGTTGAAAATGTGCCCGACGGACAGTTATTCACCCCATTACGCGTGAACGTAGATTCGTCTGTCACCAATATGCACTTCAAAAAGTCCGGATTATTGTCATGTTGATGCAACAACCACTCACAAAACCGCACTCTTGCTGGAAAATCGTCAGGTTGAAGGGCTTGTACACGTTGGACGTGAAACGGACACAGCCTCTCTTCACGCAGCGTTTGCCACACTTTAGTTTTTGATCCTTGCCCTTCTCTAGCCACGTCTCTAGTGCTTGTTGAGGGATTCTCGTCTACACGATTACCTCTACACGCGTGACCGTAACCGTCGGTTGAAGGTTGCATACTAACCTGACACACTGACCCCGACCCAGTTCTGTCGTCGGGTTGAGACAGTGACCTTGTACCAGTCGGTGATGTCGCGGCTACAGGACGGTATTCAGATATTTTTGATGTTGCAGAGCCCTTTATCTCGGTTCCCTTAAGACATTGGTGTATATGGTACTAAGAAAAATTGCTTGTTTTCAAGATCTACACGTCGTGTAAAGGAAAACCCCAACTTTGCAGACACCCTGTATATATATATATAGATGGATATTACTGCTAGCAGATTATATGTTCTGAAAATATCTTTACAAGAGTCTCTTTTGTTGATATTGAAAATCAGCCTGAGTACTCTTTTCTGCAAGATGAAGACTGCTTGTCCCCATAGTATTATATTATTGCTAAGATGCGGGTAAGCCAAATCGTAGTAGATATCTATAAGAGCTGTTTGGGAGATGTTTTGTTTGAGTTTCAAGATTGCAAAGTATGCACTATTGAGTTTCTTAATGACATGATTCACATGTGACTGCCAGCCCAACTTCCCATCAATATGAGTTCCTAAGAATTCGGTTCCGTCTGAGAAGATATCGTTGTGCAACCGTGGTTTGCTATTGTAGAGATGCACATACATTGTTTTATCAGCGTTTAGTATAAGGCGGTTAGATACACACCAGTCATTCATTTCTGTTTCAACTCTCGCTCAATTGCTTAGAGCAGGTCAACTGATGTTGCGGCACTAACTACGACTGACACCAGCGTAGTTGACCATATGACCAGATAGTTTTAGGTCGTTCATAAACAAAATGAACAGGAGTGGCGCTAGTACCGAGCCTTGGGCTGCACCAATGCTTATGTCATACACACCCGACGAAGAACCATTCACTCTTGTTTTAAGCTGTCTGTTTGATAGAAAAGAAACAAGCCAGCGTAAAAGAAAGTCCCTAATACCGAGGTTATACAGCTTCTGCTCGACGAAGTTTATGAAGAGATCAGAAGGTTGAATAATAACTCTTATTTCGTGGCCTGGGTAGAGGATTTATTTTTTTACAGGCGCAGGCAGAAGCCTAAATGACAGAACACCGAGGCTGTTATGAGAATCCAATTTTTGATTTGCCTAAGGTTAGGAGAACTGGGAAAAGCCTCCTTGAAGATTGTTCCACCCTAGGGGCAAAGGACGGGTCGAATCGACCAGTTCTGGATGAACGAAGTTCGATACGGTTAGGTTGGGAGGCCGAAGTCATGCGGGTCTGTCTGGAAGGCACAAAGCGCCGCGGCTTCATTCCAAGGAAATGTCTCTGGAGCACGGAAATACTGCTGCGGACAAAAGTCACAACTCTCCGGTTCTATCTCATATTGGAGTGAACCTCATTATTTGGGAAGGTAGGACGATTAATCGGTGCAGAATTTGACATTTTTGTCTCCGCCAAAAAAAGTATGGCGGGACGATTAGATTGCAGGTAGTGATGAACTGCATCAATGATGCAGTTAATCGCGCAGATGTTCCTGAAACAAATGTTATTATTGATGTCGTTCCCTCCACCCGAATATTACAAGAATGGAGTTAGCTTACGTCCGGAATTCTCACACACCGTAGCTTAGGTGTGGAAATATGCGGTCATTCTCAAGACACCCTGGAAAAAGCTAGCGGGTGGTACCGCCTCCGTCGACTGACTGTTATTGTCTACCACCTTCTTTTTGCGTGCTAATGATGTTAAATAGACCTAAAGTGGCGCATTGGATAGTTGTTATTTGGGAAAAACAAATTTTCAGTTCGTTCTCTATAATCCGAATAACGCTTTGATAATTGAGTTGTTGAGTTATGAGCGATTCAATATACAAAAGCGTTCAAATTTGACAGACTATCAATCCGCCAATTTGTATGATAGTGATTTTGTATACTAGTAGTCTAATATTAGACGAAAATTCCGAAATAATTGTAAAGTTTGGTTTTATTGATGGAAGTTGTTCATGGAGGCATAAAATGGGTACACCAATTTCTATGGGAAGACTTTTTATTCGACAACAAAGAATGAGAAAACGTGTATTTTGGGATTCAATCGAAAGTGTTGGCAGGAACGAAAAAACTCATATAAAATTTTTAGGGATTTATGAGACCTACAAAGAGATCTGACTAATAGTAAAAAAGTTATGGCCCTAGGATTCATACTTCTAAAGACAACAAAATTGGAGTCGATTGGTCAGGTAGTTTTTAAGAATTTCTAATTATTTATCCCCTTCGGTTTTTGCATAAAAATAACAATTACTTTTCGTACATTTTGTGATGTAATTTTTCTAGTGTGATCCATGCTTATTTTGTATCAGCCTCCCTCTATATTTTTTTAATCAATGTCCGCCTCAAAAATAAAGTATTTTACCGCTGCAAAAGTGAAATTTTACTACTTTTACTTTCTTCAAAAAAGCTATTATGCTCTTTTCAAGCTCTTTAATGGGTAAACAACGTTTTCTGCCCTATGTTTTAAAAATTCATCATTTCAAGAAGTCTAAAAATGTCAATAAATCATGTATGTACTGTTTTAACTTTACAAATTTAAAACATGAAATTACGGAAATTTCCAGAAAAAATCACAAATCATATAGTTCCCCTTTCAATATTGGCCCACCACCCAATAATTTTGAAAAAGAAATCTTGAAAATAAAACTGAAATGTTATGTTCCTCCCTTTAAACTTTGTAGAACTTAATGTTTAGTTTTTTACGTTATATTTGTTTGTTTGTTTCAGATTTATTTAGCATTAATACTACTATGTCCATAATATCCATATTACACAGTATATCACAAAATATAGTATGTCTTCGATTTGAACATTTTCGAACTGACACATCTTGATATCATTACTTAATTTATTAAATTCGTACAATCCCTTTTGAAATGCTGACTTGCTCGTTATATTGCTACTGCAGTTTTGTAAATGAAAGTCTATACTTCCTCTAGTAGAATAATTGTGGCACTCATTGTTCAATACAATAAAATTTTCTAAGTGATTTGGTAGAAGATGATTTTTCAACTTGAATATGAAAATGAAAACCAAGTAGGCTATGAATTTTTTTTATATTTAACCATTGTAGTTCTTTCAGCATAAAATTTATTCTAGTATATTTATTTTTATTTAAGATGATTCTCATAGCTTTATTTTGTGATATTTTTAATATTGAAAATACAGTTTCATTTGCAGTGAACAAAACAGTCGAACAAGATAACAAATGAGGAAGAATGACAGTGTTTTACACATTTTTTTTAGAATAAACGCTTAGGCTATGCGAAATTCTATAAAAGTAATTTATTTTCTTGGAGTTTTTGAAATAATATATTCATAGTGCCCTTCAAATTTCAATTTACTGTCTAAGTCTAAGTTTATTTATATTTAACCAATTTATTACGTTTTTCATATCATTATTTAATGGTATATTGCAGTTTCGATGTCTTTATTTGATATATACAGGGTGACTTTGAAGTTGAGTCATTAATTTTCAGATAATGATTGTAGAAGGAAGATAAACCAAAATATGTGTGTAAAAATAAAAAAAAAATAAAAAAAAATGTTTACCTTGTTTTATAAAGTATCCTCCCGACAAGTATTTCAGTGCGGACCTGTATTTGATCGTGAGGTCCCCTGTGAGGTCTGAAGTCACCTGATTCACGAGCCCGTTGTACTACTATTAACAAAGGCACGAGGGGTTGGTTGCACTCGATTGGGAAACCGATCCGCATAAACATGTGCCATTTTTTATTTCGTTTGAGCCACGCAACACACTATTCACACGCGACTGACAGTGATTGTATGTATAACTGAACTGAATAAAGTAAACATCGTTCCAAATTCTTTCGCTTTTTTGTTTCCGATGCGATGAACCGATAAGGTGGATTATATCCGTTGTTGCCAAACACGAGCCCATGATGTTATTGAGACAGGGCGGTACTCAAACTTCCAAAGGGCTATAACTTTGTTACTTTAATTTTACCAGAAAAATGGTAAAGGAAAAAAACATTTCTTTTGATCAGATCTACTCACTGTTAAAATAAATGACTCAACTTCGAAGTCACCCTGTATATATATATATATATATATATATATATATATATTACAACACTGCAAAATTCATATATATATATATATATATATATTAATGTATCATCAGCAAATACTTGAATTTTGCAGTGTTGTAAAATATCAGGAATATCGTTAATGTATAAAAAAATAGTAATGGACCTAATTTGCTACCTGTGGCACACCTACCGAAATGTTTTTAATGTTTGATAATGTATTGCCAATTTTAGTTCTTTGACTTCTATTTCGCGTAATAAGTTGAATACCGTACTGAACTTTGAAATCCATAGCAATGCAATTTCGATAACAATTTCTCCCTGTCAATAGTCTCAAATGCTCTCTTGAAATCTAAGAACAATGTTACTGTAAACTTTTTTCATCCATATTTCGTCTCCATTCTTCTACTACCATTTTAATTGCTTTTTCAGTAGAAAACTTTTTTCTGAATCATGCTTGAAATTTTGTCAATATCTTATTTTCTTCAATATACTCAATGACTTGTTCATATATGATTCCTTCTAAAAGCTTCTCGACATCTGGCAGTACATTAATTGACCGCATGTTTGTATGAAACTCAGAATTTTGCACTTTTGGAACAGGAGTAATTGTAGAACACTTTAATTTTGAAGGAAATTCGCCATACACTAAACAGTGTTTCACTAAAAATAATAACTTCTCTCCAATAATGTTGAAACATTCATTCATAACCATTTTTGAAAGATGTTCACTAGGATTTCTATTCGATTTCAATCTTGTAAAAGCTTTTGAAAGATAGCTGATATTTATTGTTTGGAATTTTCTCATAGAAGAATTACAAGTAACTTGCATGTGACATAGGTTTGGATCCCAATCTTCGATTGATTCCACTATCTCATTTATACTTTCTATAAAATAAGCGTACATTTGTTCTGCAATCAATATTTTTTGTGTTACTATACCATCTTCGAAGCTCATTCTTGATAATTCATTCTTCCTACAGGGAGATAAAAGATTTTTTAGTGTCTTCCACATCATTTTACTGTTATTTTTATTGCTATCGATTTTGTTTTTATATTTTTTCTTTTCGTTCCTAAGATTTGTTAAACACTTGTTTCTTGATTTCTTATATTGTATCCAGTCTTCCTCAGTTTGAGTGATCGTAAACTTTTTATAGTCATTATGACGCGTGAATTTAGAGTCTAGAAATATTTGTGAAAACCAGAGTGTTGGATTTTTCCTTTGATATACCACTTTCCTAATATGTGCGTCTCTCATGCAGTTCTCCATACAATCCATAATTTTTGAGATGTCAGTGTCAGTATCATTAAAAATTTTAGTGATATTGGCTTGTAAAAAAGACTCTCGTAACGTGTCAAAGTCAATAATTGAGATTCCTTGATTTTGAAAACATTATAATCATGAAAGTCGGACATACCACCAACATGATTTTTCCCTCCCCTCCCCCCCCCCCCTCACTCTCGTGACCTATGGGTCCCACCCGAACTCAAGAATCTTTATACGCCAATGGATATATCTATATATTTTCTGGGAAAACCAGTATGAAATGAAACAAAAATTTCTATTCACTCATCATACTTACTTGGAAAACGAATGTTTCTTTGAACAATGGATTTGGTTGCCCCCTTCTGGTAGTCGTTTTAGTGTGTGCTAACTCTTGTCCAGTGCTGCTAACCAGATTCAGTTTGACATAGGTGTCAGGTGCTCTGTTTAAGCCAAAGTTTTTCAAAAAGTAGCTGGAAATCAAGAATGTTTCAATATACAAGACATCCCATACCTTAAGCTGAATTTGTCAATACTAATTTGATTAACTGCTGCAATGTTATACAGGGTGCGGCAGAGAGGATGGACGGTTTTAAAAAAATCATAAAATAGTTAATTTGTACTCAAAAACAAATTTATTGATGGAATCCGGTTCACAAGAAAATAGCATTTCAGACAGTCAAGTGTAGAAAATCACATCAGGCACGTGGTGGCGGAAATCGTTGATGCAGTGCTGGAGGCATTCTTGGAAGTTCGCGTAGACTCTCTCCAACATCGCTCTCTCAACTTGGGCGACTTCCACGCGAATTTCGCCCTTCAATTCGGCCAGAGTTCTGGGCTTGTTCACGTATACTCTAGCCTTGAGGTGTCCAACATAAGAAAAAATCGCATATGGATAAATCTGGGGACCGAGGAGGCCAATGAACATCGCCAAACCTGGAAATAAGGCGACCAGGGAAGAGAGGGCGAATAACATCCATGGATGCTCGGGCTGTGTGGGCGGTCGCCCCATCCTACTGGAACCACACACGTCGGATTGGAACACGTCGCCGTCGTAATTCAGGGAGAAAGAAGTTGGTGATCATGTCGAAGTAGCGCTCTGAGTTCACGGTAACATCACGACCATTACCGTCTTCGAAGAAGTAAGGGCCAATGATGCAAGTTTGCGATACTGTTGCGGATTTTCATTAGCCCAATAACGACAATTCTGCTGGTTAACCATGCTGTTTAGGTGAAAGTGGGCTTCGTCACTCATAAACAAAATGAGGTTCTCATTTTGATCGATCAGTGCTTCGATCTCACGTGCGAAGTTCATTCGTTGTGCATAATCTCCGGGCTGTAACTGTTGCACAATCGCCAATTTGTAGGGGTGATAGCGGAGATCCATATGCAAAATTCGCCTTACCGAACAATCACTAAGGCGAAGTGCAGCAGCATGTTTCTGGGCAGATCGAGTCGGACTGCGAAGAATGACCTGTCGAACGCGTTCAACATTTTCAGGAGTTCGAACTGTTCGCGGCGCTCCTCTTGGTCTTCTGTTGATCAGTTCACCACGCCTGCAAAGTGATTCAACCCAACGAACGATGGTGTTTCGAGAGGGAACAGCTCTATTCCGATGAATGTTGAAGTGGCGACGAAACCCACGCTGTACGACGATGACTGACTCATTATTTCGGACGAAACAATCATAGGCGAAAACGCGGTGCTCCACCGTCCAAGGCTCCATAACGACAACTGGTAAAATAATGCTAGCATCTCACGAGTCAAACGGCACCCTCCCCACCTCTCTCGTAGGCGGATGCGGGGAGTACTACCCATCCCAAAAACGTCCGTCCTCTCTAACGCACCCTGTATAATTTAAGCTGTATTTACCTAAAATGTGATCCTTTGACTACTTCTACGCTAAGTCTACCGGTGGTTGCATTGTAGCAAAGCCCTAAGAGTAATTCAGGCACTCCGCCATGTTGCATGGACTGTCTGGACCCTGTACTGTCTGATCGTGTGAGACTTATCATATCACCGGTTAGCTGAAAAATCATTGGATGTATTATTTAATTGTTTGAATGATAATTTCGAAAATAAATTAAATCCGAAATCAATCTTTTTTCAAATATCTCAAAATCTGAAAAATTCAAATGAGAGATACGTAAATTCCGCAAATTTTTCTCACATAGACAATATTGTGATTTTACTAGTTTTAGAGATCATAGCATTGATCAGCTTACCACTGCATTGGCTCTCGGTTGGAGAGTTAACCAAAAGTGATTCTCAAGCTCCAAATTTATCTTAGCAAAACTAACAATCGCCTCTCCGATGATTCTTTCTCTACGCATCCTTTCACAGCCGTATAGTCTTAGTCGGATCCCCATGGAATTCACATCCTCTGAAAGTGCAAAAGTGATGCTACAGTAAGAAGAATAACTTACGCCAAGTACTTTCATGTATTTCTAATCCTACATCACAAAATCTTCTTCGAGCTTATTCTGTCTCTGTAAAACGCAAACCATCTGAAACAAGCAGCTCATTACGTGATATGCACCTCAAGGGTTATTCGCTGAATTTTTGCGTCCACAAAAATTCACGAGGATTGAATGTCGTCAGTTTTTGAATATAAGCTTTGGTCGGTCAGTCTTTCTATCGGTGGTCCAGATACCTGACAAAAATGAGATAAACATGCCGGTTCTATATATATAATCAGTCTAATGTTTACTGGATACTTAAGAACTACTGCTCTGAAGCGTACCTGGATTAATTCTATGTAAAACGAAGCTTTCCATATAATGTGGATTCTCGCCAGATCTAATCTTGGTCTTGCATTTTTGTTTCTTGCTGGGTAGTAATATCAACCTCACCTAAGAAATAATGGAATAAGCATAAGTACGATATTGAAAAAACTATGTTATTACTTCACGTGCACGTTGTTCTCGAAAATGTGTTTAGTCCGTAGTACTCAAATTTATTGAAATAATGAAAGAGAACCGAGACAGTCCGGAGACCGAGAGCTACTCACTAGAACACAAATACCGTTGTCCTAGCGAAATTAAGTACCACTTTAGATCCCATGTGCTTAGCATCCGCCTGATCCCGTGTGAGCTGAAATTTTTTAACGAGCTTTTTTACTCAAATTTAGTACAGGACCGCGCCCTAAATACCGCCTATCTTAAGTAACACCTTGTATACATATGCTCAAACTGTATTGCGATGCTATTTTTTCACACCGAAACAGCCTTAATGCCAGGGCACCGCGGCTGCTAAGAGGAGCTCAAAGAAACTTTGCTAATCCGCACGGGTATTAGGTAAAAAACCTATAAAAACGTCAAGAAAACCTATAAAATGTCATCTTTCAGACTATGTAGTTTTTAGGGTACAAACGGTCATTCCACGTTTGCTCACTAGAAGCGTTGGGAGCATCCATGTATGGAGGAATGACTCAATTAAACTAAACGCATTGTTGGTTGCATGTGTTTTGTGAAACCGAATAGTTTTCATCTCTGAGAAGAAAGTTGCTTGAATAGCAAGATCGCATACGGATGATTATGTGTATTGGTGGCATGTGTATAAAATCAGTGGTATTTGCTGCTTGAGAAAATCATTACTGAATATGCTGCCAATGAAGTAAATCTATTATCTGTGCCCGACGGGTTATTCATATGTTGTCCTTTCTGAAGACAGATAATGTTTTTTTTTTGTGTTTTCAAAAAGTTTGAGGAGAATTACGGGAAATGTCTAGCACGTCCGCGTTGTGTGTAATTACTGTTAGCATGTATATGACTTATAATTCGACAGTGTAAGTTATGGAATCCTGATGATTACCATTTCAACGGTACGGCTAACACCGTCCCGATGCCCTTGTGATTAGCGCCGTCCATCCGGTTTCTAGTTACAGCGTTAGGTGTTATCTTTGTGAGAACATTCCTGACTTTGCATTTTGCTATATTTTACTTCTTATAAACAGAATATGAAATGTAACTAGCGTTGCTGTCATCCTGTTTTCATCCAATAAAGTTCCTGCTATAGTTTCGAACCGAAACCACACTGAGTTTCATTTCTTGTACAGTGAATATAATTATTTATCTCATTTTTGAAATTCAACAAATTTTCATATGTATGTAATTTCCATAATGGATAAAAAAAGTGTATGCGCAACTAATTTCTAGCTTTGAATTTCAACTAAGTGTATTTGAGACTTACTATGCACCTATGCATTGCCGTTTCCTTCTAGCTATAGTATACAACTTACAGCTCAGACCTCCAGTAATGCCATCTCTGAAGCAGATTTTACATCACATCAGAGCCAAGCATTGATAACTGAAGCCTCAGGACGTTTAGGCAACATGAACAACTACAAAACGAGTTCATAACGTGTCAATCAGCTAGTGCTGTTTACATCTTGTAGAAAAACCTACATAATGTCACAAAAACCTATACAATGTCAAAAAAATCATCATAATATCACTTTTCAAGATAGGTAATACCCGTGATTTTTGAACTGCCCAAAGTTAGTCGAACTAGGAAACGCCTTATTGTAGTTCCACAATCTCGATATCCCAGGGAGTTCGACTCGGTTAGGATGGGAGGCTGGCGGCTCTGTCTGGCTGGCACATCACGCGGCGGCATCATTGAGGAGAGTATCCAGAGAGGTAGCTTCTCTGGAAGACCATTGGATGGAAGTTTGCATTAGAGGACAGCGCGCCTCAGCTGGTAGAGCGATTTCGTGATATCAAGAGCAAGGACGTGAGCCTCACCATAAGGTTGGATGAGTTTACTCCACAGTTGTGTGATGTAAGCTAGAAGGTCTTGTATGGATCGCTGGTACTGGAAACCATACTGTCTATCGAAAATAAAGTCGTGATGTTCGAGGTACTCCTGAAGCTCCCGATTTATGCCCCTCTCCATCACCTTACTTTTAACAGAAAGCAGAGCTATAGGTCTGTAGTTGTAAGAGTCGGTCTTGGATCCTTTTTCGGGATTTGTTGAACATGATCAGATTTTTAGTTTTCTGGGAAGGTGCCGGATTCGTAAGATATCTGGAAGAGACGCGAAAGAACTGGAGCAAGCAGCACTGCACACCTATTCAATACAACGGCAGGAATCAAGCCCGGACCAGAAGCTTTAATTTTACAAAAAAGATGTCCAAAATGTATCATCAACATGTGGTAAATAAATATGACCAGCCAAAAAATACCTTTCTGACATCGATAACAGCTGTTACAGCAATCTGCAAAATGCAAATGCCAAGTCCTTCTTTGGACGCCTCTGAAGGAAACGATATTATGAAACGTTTACGAATGTGATCGCAAGTGCTCTGATTGCCACCTGGCTGTCTGAGCAGATCAATATTCTCCTAGGAAAATCCCACTTCTGAATACGAACTCACAAGACAAAATTGCATAATTTCCTCTGGAAGTTGTATTATAATTTGCCGATTTGCTGCTAATGGGACACGTGGCAAATGAGCAAATTATTTTTGTTTTTCAGCATACGAGTACACGTAAATAGGGTTTTTCAAATGCAGACTCAATTATGTAAAAAATGATGATTCTAAGTAATTGGAGCACGCTCCGTTTCAAATTGATTCCTATTTATTTCAAGACCCAGACACGCAATGCAGTTGGTATATGCAGCTTTTTATAGCTTGCCCGTTCGTTAATTTGATTAAAGTGAGTTTAACGCGTGAAAGTAAGCACTGTCCCCGGTGCAGTCTACACTCTACATTTTTTCAAATACAGGGTGAGTTTTTAGTGTGAGGTCGGTCGATAAGTCTGTTTTTCCGCATATACAGGGTGGCGCATCGAAAACGAAACAGACGCATTTAATGGCAGCTCAGTTTTTTTTAAACGCTCAGACCCGTCGATTTTTTTTTCGAGGGGGACACAAGTTTGGCAAAAAATCACGTTGGCACGTGCAGGCCCCTAAGCGGGGGTGACACCACCCCCAAATTCTTAAATGGAAAAGACGGTCGAGTGATACCTTATTTTAAAGGTCTTTCAATTCCCTCTATAATGATATAAAATTAATGTACTTCAGTTCACTAGTTTTGAAGATTTATTGATTTAAATCTTAAATAAAACTAATACATCATCATCAGTGGAAATCAATACATTTGGCAGCAAAGTAATTTAAAAATGAAGAATGAACTGACCCGTTAGGCAAGTAAATGTTGAAAAGGGCCACCATGACTCCCCATGCAATAATAAAGATTTTGCTCAATGTTGCGTTTTTTATTGGCGACTGACCAAGTTTCCCGAAATTTAGCTACAAGTTCTAGAACATATTTTCGATGCACGTTACTGTTCTCATGTCGCTCATTAAATATTTCTGCTGTTCTATTAGCGCACTGATTATTTCCGAAAAATATTTCGAGAATTCCAACTCTTTCTGCTGTGGTTAATTTATGTAATAAAGCATTACAAATTATTTTAGCAACAAAGTTTGGTCAAATCAGTCGCAAACTATGTACTAAATTCCTATTTAAAATAAGTACGAGATATTTCCTTATCTTTCATCAAGAAATAACTTTTTAGCCACAAAAAAAAAACGCTCCAATAGCTATTTTCAACAACAAAATGATAAACAAACCATGGGCGTAGTGAATAAAATCTGATGTACCTATTAAAAAGTCTACTTTAAGCTTTAAATCAATACATCTTCAAAACTACTGAACAGAAGTACATTAATTTTATATCATTATAAAGGGAATTGAAATACATTTAAAATAAGGTATTACTCGACCCCCCTTTCCATTTAAGATTTTAGGGTTGGTGTCACCCCCGCCCAGGGGACTGCACGTATTAATGTGATTTTTTGCCAAACTTGTGTCCCCCTCGAAAATAAAATCGACGAGTCTGAGCGTTTTTCCAAAAAAAAACTGAGCTGCCAGTAAATGCGTCTGTTTCGTTTTCGATGCGCCACCCTGTATAAAAAGGTTCATTTTCAAAAAATGTAGCCCTTACTTCGTTTATTCTGCATTCTTCACCACCCTGCATTAACTGTTCAAAAAAACTGAAAAATAAGTGGAAAAGAACAAATTATGGGAACATTTTTTAGTGAAATATTTTGGTACTCTAGCTATAATCGCTGCGCTGGTGCAAGTTGTCAAAGGTCAGTGCTTCATTCGATATCTCAACAATTTGGAAATAGAACCCTGTAGTATTTCATATCAAATTGCTTCGTTTGAACGAGTGTATCAAAATCTGCAATAAAATGTAGTGCTTTCCATTTAAAAAATGCATGTTTGGGTCACCGCATAGTTTTGAATCGCCCTGTAGAGATAAACATATTTTCCTAGTAACGAACATACCGTCGGCTATAATTTTTGTAATTAACTTCCTTAGATATTATGCGCACTAGATTTATGCCACACTAAAAACTCACCTTGTATATAAAAAATATTTTCTACTATCAATAAATATCTTCATTTAAGCCTCAAAAGCAAATAAAATACCAATGACTTGTCATTTTTACGTTTACCAGTTGTAAAACTTCCCCTATCTCTGATTCATAAGTAACGTCGAATATGAGACTTAGAGAGTTCCGAAGAGAGTTTTCGAAATTCAGAATACTTATAAAGAAAAAAACGATAATTCCAATTTTTTTTTACTTTATTTGAAATCCAATTCCAAAATAAATTGCACATTCACATTGCCACGTTTTCTTCTAAGCATAGTGGCATAGTTCTATTTCAATATGGACGCCATATTGGACTGTTGGTTAGATGAATGAAGTTAAATATTCGGACTTCAAAGATATATATGTCAACACCGACCTTGCAAACTTTAGTTATTTAAAAGAAACAAAATTTCCTAAGTAGGCTTTGAAATTGGCAGATGGTGATTTCTTTAAGAATACTCACTAGCAGTTATCATCGTCTACGTAGGCTTAAAATTGTAAAAAAGCAAAATTTTGAAATTAACACATTAGGTCAAACCAAATTTTACATTGTAAAAAATACCTCTCTTCCTAGCCCAGGTAAATACGTATATATAAAATATCATACAATCCATTCTCAGTTTGTCTACTCTATCTTTAGATTTTTAGATATCTAGCAAGATTTTCAAACAAATTCGCGATTACCCTTTAGCCCCCATAATACGGCTCTGTTGCAAAAACTGTACCTAACTGACACATACTGCCTATGAGTTGCCTCGCTGCCAAATAAACTCCAGTAGAAAAACAAAGGACTCTCGTACAAAATTGTAAATGCCTTTAAACCGGCCCTGACGCAAAATCCGTTCTAACTGGCATAAGATACTTTTTTGCCAAATTTTATGTTGATAGGTCACATAGCTTTCGAGATAAATTTCTAAAAACTTAACTTGAAAAGTGGTAAGGTTTACATCCTACCCGATTTTGAAGATATAATTCCTTGAAATCTTTAATATTTTTATAAGGCTGGCCTGATTTGAAATATTCTAGGTTCTTCAGTCTCAAGAGTATTAGAGTCCACTTAGTGGAGGAATTACCAAAATTCGTCTGTAAGTGCCTATTTACATAATATCAAAGAACCAAATACCAAAACCCATATTTGTTATTCTAACTTGAAGGATAATACCTTCTTTATAGTAACATTAACCCCCAATAAGTTAAGTTCTATTTATGCAACGAAATGTAGTTTTTGTCCAAGTTCAAGGTCTAATCTGTATCTATGCTACGCTCAAAATAGAGATCAACCGTTTTGGCGTGGAAGCGGAACATTTTTTTATTATGAAAAAATGCACTAAATCTGTGCAGGAAATACACGATGTTGATGCCTAGTTACAGTCCCTTTCTTATTTCAGACGGACTCTTACAAATGTCAAATTTCATTAAGCAGTTTGGACGGCAGCCCACGAAGTTCATATTTTCCGAGATCAAAAGTAGCCTATGTGTTATTTCAGACAATAATCTCTCTGCCTTTAATCCAGATCAGCCATTTTCGCATGACATCCACACTTTCTCATTCATAATATTAGTAGTAAGCTCAGTCCCCATATTACAAATCTTCACATGTCAAAAGTAATCTTCCTATAGTTAGTCTTAATTCAGCGAGGTAAGCCAATTTTTTCAAATTATTTAAGGGTAGTATTAAAAATATTTGAAAGGGTACTGATAGAAACATTTTGTAGGTTTCTAAGCACATTTCATATCCACCATACCTAGATCGATACACAGATGTTGCTTGCACTGCAATGATGATCAACCTTATTTTCGTCAGAGGAAACCTTCTATAGCAACTTACAAGAAAATCTTGATGAACACGAAATATTATATCAGCTAGCCTTTTCCGCTCGAAATATGAGACCCTTCAAAAACATCCCGGTCATCCACGATGCATCCCACCATAACAATATTTTTTCATGCTGTGCAGCGCCCTTGCTGGTTGCATCGTATCGTAACGCCCTGGTAAGTCGAACAATGAGGCACCTCCGTTATATCGAGCCTTAGGCAACCAGAATTACACGGCCGTATATAGAGCGCGTTTGCGAACACAAGACAAGCTTCAAGAAGCATCTACGTCATCAGGACAGCTTCCACGATTTCAATCAAACTCTCTGTGATATGACAATTTCAAAGAATTACCCAGAAGCCTCCATCAAAGGGACAATCGGGTAGTTGACAGCGCAAAACGCGATAGCTTAGTCGACATAGTTATAAATTAGTTACAAGTGTGGGTATAATTAGTGCAAGAGTAATGCATGAACAGTAACAGTGTTTTCGTTACAGTATAGTACCTGCGTGTGTGCGGGTTGATCAGCAGTCCCCCCAGCTGCGTCCATGATGGGCAACCTGGCCTGCAGTACGTGCACTGTCATCTTCCTTACCGGTGCATCGTAAGCCACGGCTACCTCTAAATGACCGCACGGAGTTTCGTCCACGTCTACCAGTCCGCTTGCGGCAGCTGACTTGGTCACCGGAGAACAAGTACCACCTGTCATAGATGCTTTGTCTTCGCTAAGGTCATGGCTTAGGACGACGATGCACTGGAAAGAGAATGATTACAATAAAATATTTTGAAAAATGTAAATATTCAACCAGTTTTCTGCACGCCGGAGTCTGCGGCATTAAGGTACGCGTCCATAGGCTCACAAAGCATGCTCATAATGCACTTAATTGCTAAGTGGTTTATAGATTTATAAATAAAATGATATAATGCCCTGTTAAAGCCGTACATAAAATATGCCTTAGTAATTCATACTTAAAGGAAGTCAACACTTTCAACAAGTTTTCCTATATTGATATCATATACAGACAAATTTCAAAATGGCGGAAAGGAGCCATCTTGTAACATTTTTCAAATAGAATGAGGAAGCATGCTGTACCTCATTTTGAACCTCCTTATGAGTACTTTATAGCTGCAGAATATAAAAATGCTATCTTGGGAAATAACTCAATCATCAAAATGTTATATTATGTCATATAAATATTCTTCTTTTGAAAGGGTCCATCTGAATGTGCAATAAAATATGAGGCATTCCGTTTAAAAAGAATGATAGATTTTAAAGTCTTGTTAATGGAATGCTCCATATTTTATTACATATATAGGAGATTGATATCACATACTATAGTGTTTTGATGATTGGTTGTTAAGTTATAATCGACTCAATTTTAAAAGCCTGCCAAATCGCCATTCTTAAAGATAGTGGTGTCAAATCCTAGATGTGTAAAGTTCTTATAAAGAACCATTCTATTTAAAGAATTCTGGAATAACGCCCTGCCCCCATCTTGAAATTTTCAACTGATACTTTTACGCTAAAACAGTATTTATGCATCAATTTCATTAGCCCGAATTTCATTTTTCTAGCTAAATCTGTTCAACAAAATAAGGAGGTACCTTCTTGAAAAGCACTATACAGGGTGGCGCATCGAAAACGAAACAGACGCATTTACTGGCAGCTCAGTTTTTTTTTTTGGAAAAACGCTCAGACCCGTCGGTTTTGTTTTCGAGGGGGACACAAGTTTGGCAAAAAATCACGTTAGCACCACCCCCAAAATCTTAAATGGAAAGGAGGGTCGAGTGATACTTTATTTTAAAGATCTTTCAATTCCCTTTATAATGATATAAAATTAATGTACTTCAGCTCAGTAGTTTTGAAGATTTATTGATTTAAAGCTTAAATAAAACTAATACATCATCATTAGTGGAGATCAATACATTTGGCAGCAAAGTAATTTAAAAATGAAGAATGAACTGACCCGTTAGGCAAGTAAATGTTGAAAATGGCCACCACTCTCCATGCAATAATAAAGATTTTGCTCAAAACGTTGCCGCACATTTCGCAATGTTTGAGGAGTAATTTGAAGGCACTCATTCACAATTCTTTGTCGCAGGTCTTCTAATGATGTTGGCTGAGTAGCATAGATTTTGCTTTTTAAATGACCCCACATAAAGAAATCCAAAGGTGATAAATCTGGCGATCTTGGGGGCCATTCAATGGCACCTCTTCTACCAATCCATCGATCTGGAAACGTCTGATCTAAATATTGTCGAACACGTAATGCGTAATGTGGTGGGGCACCATCCTGTTGGAACATCAACCTATTCGCAATGTATCGCCGATCATTCTGATTTTCAATTATGGCTGTTAATGCAGGATCTATGGCGTCTTCCAGTAATTCCAAATACATTTCACCGTTCAAATTTCCAGGAAAGAAAAAAGGACCAACTAAGTGATCGCCAAAAATACCAGCCCAAACATTTAATTTTTGTGGCTGCTGTGTATGAACCTCATGAGAAATTCTGATATTAGAATCGGACCAATATCGGCAGTTATGACGATTTACTACGCAATTTGAGAAAAAGGAACATTCGTCGGAAAAGAAGTGTTGAATAGAAAATGTTCATCGTTTATAATTCGTTCACTCATATCTTCACAAAATTGTAATCGCCCATCAAAATCGTCTTCATTAAGTTCTTGTACCAGGTGAATTTCATACGGATGAAAACTATGGGCCTTTAGAATCAGTTGGAAAGTACGTCGACTAACACCACACACAGTCTCCAATTTGCGGGTACTTAACGTGTAGGATCTACATAAACTTGCCCTAAAACGTTACTGTTCTCATGTCGCTCATTAAATATTTCTGCTGTTCTATTAGCGCACTGATTATTTCCGAAAAATATTTCGATAATTTCAACTCTTTCTGCTGTGGAATATACCATGGTTAATTTATGTAATAAAGCGTTACAAGTTATTTTAGTAACAAAGTTTGGTCAAATCAATCGCAAACTATGTACTAAATTCCTATTTAAAATAAGTACCAGATATTTCCTTATCTTTCTTCAAGAAATAACTTGTTTGCCACAAAAAAATGCTCCAAAAGCTATTTTCAACAACAAAATGATAAACAAACCATGGGCATAGTGAAGAAAAACATTTACTTATTAAGTAAATTCTTTTAGTCAAATTTCTTCTGAAAGTAGTACAAACTAATCTGATGTACCTATTAAAGTCTACTTTAAGCTTTAAATCAATAAATCTTCAAAACTTCTGAACTGAAGCTTAGGTATTATATATACATCATTATAAAGGGAATTGAAAGACCTTTAAAATAAGGTATCACTCGACCCCCCTTTCCATTTAAGATTTTGGGGGTGGTGTCAGCCCCGCTTAGGGTTCTGCACGTGCTAACGTGATTTTTTGCCAAACTTGTGTCCCCCTCGAGAACAAAATCGATGGGTCTGAGCGTTTTTCCAAAAAAAAACTGAGCTGCCAGTAAATGCGTCTGTTTCGTTTTCGATGCGCCACCCTGTATAAGAGTATATGTTTTTAGGTATATCTTAGATTGCAAGAGTCTAAATTAATTTTTACAGGTTTGCTCTCCATTCGAGAGGATTTAACAAGCTTGCAATAAAGTTTTGTGAGGTGGAAATCTGATTATTTTAAATATATCAGCTATCTCAGAAATTTAAAGGTACTACATTGAATTTAGTATCTATCCAATGATATTTGATAATAGCTAGTTGATAGCTTTTTTAGGGTAGCCATGTGTAAGTTGCTTACGATGTTTTGGATATAATAATTTTCGTGTTTTAGTTAAGGACATGCTGGCCGCGCTCGTCTCTTCGTTTCGCTTGTCCTTGCCTTCTCGGGCAATTGTAGTCCGCTGGCCAATAGGACCATGCTAATTTAGACGTCGTGTGCTGGCGTTTGTTTCCATAGGAAGTGGAAGAGGTTTAAACGCACTATTTCTCCACCCATTGCATCGACGCTCGCAACAACATTGACGACGCGTGGTGCACCTGGATTTTGTTAGCCAATCTATACAAATCATGGACAAAAACTCAATTTCTACATAGATTCCGGGTTGAACTGTCAACGCGTTGGTAATTTCTTTGCTTTAGGTACATTGACGGATTTAAAGTGGAATGGCCTAGCCGTCCCCCCTACTAGACTGTCAAGACTCCGAATTGTTACAATAAAATGTTACTTATTTCTGTATCTTTGTAAGAAAATTACCTTGCTGGATCTGAATCGTGGAGACTCATCTACAGTGACCCATGATTAGATGAATAAGACGAGTTAGGCAAGGCTTTTTATGTCCTAAATATATCTTGTGAAATTTCCATATTATTTACTCGCAAACAGCTGCCTGAAGCTTTTTCAGCTAAGATATGGTATGTATAAGATACAGGAAATAACAGCTACAATAAAATTTATTATGTCCACAAATTGGTAAGTACTTACATCTCTGTTGCAGTTGAGGTCCAAATCAATCTGAGAGGAATTGTCGACTGCTGTGGTTGTGGAGTTGAAATCGATGTTATCATTGTCTATTTTCGTTTCCCTCAGATCACCCGATGTTCGTCTGGAAAATGGAAAATAAATGGAAATCCCGGGATGAGTCACGTGCCAGCTTCTCGTTTAAACTTCGAGGAATCTTTCACAGTCTATAAAGTTTTTTTTTGTATTTTCGATATTGATTAATACGAATATGGGGAGACATCAATAGTCTAAAATCCCATATACCACAAGATGTGACTATAGTGTATACAAATGTCATTCATTCTTAGTCAAGCTAATGGCTATAGGCGAAACCATATGTAAAAATTACCCCCAAAGGAATCAAAATCTGAATCGATCCAAAGTAAGGTTTTGGGGTCAAATCACGTAGACCAAGCTTTTGAATAGGTAGGTTCCCCTAGGGGCCCGTAACCTCAAAGACGGAAAACAATTATTATGGACGCAATTTTGGTTGAAAAATGTTTAAAAATCACCAATATATATTTGTGAAACTTATAGGTTCGAGAATTTTTTTTGCCATGATAATTTTGCAAGCTTGAAAATCCAGTGCATATCAGTAATGTATTGCGTTCTTTCCACATCCACTAACAAAATCATGAATTTTTGACATTTGAAACTTAGAATATCATAAATTAAGTTAAAACCTCGATAAATACATGTATTTATATTATATGTTCATTATTTTGGGTTCCATAGACAAAAATTTTGATGTGCCTCCCAAAAATTTTCAAAAAAAGAAGAAACCGTATGTTCGCTGAAATTCTTCAATTATTGACTCTTTTGGCCAGAAAAGAAATAGTTGGCTAAGCTAGTCACCTATTGCATAGGTATATTTATACAAATAAATTCATATAACAGTAATAACTGGAAAGTATGCAAACATATACAGAGAAATCCAAATATCACCTGTGATTACGTTATTCAAAAATTGGGGGTCACTTTCACACATGTTCAAATTTTCTTGGCACACTTCCACTCGCCGCAATTTCTGGTCGTCAGTGAGCACTTTTGGGACCATCTTCGCGCACACCTTGCGCATGTTCAAATGCTGTGTCACAATGTCTTGAACCACAGATTTTGGTAAATTTAACATCTGGGCAATTAAACGAATACTTAGTCGACGGAGTTCAAAACTTTGCGCACACGAGTTACATTATCGGTGTTTATCGAAGTCCAAGGTCTTCCAGTACGGTCTTCATCAGCGACCTCTTCCCGGCCCTCCAAAAAGGCCTGGTGCCACCGAAACACACCACTTCTTGCTAAAGCAACACCTGGGTAAGCCTGCTTGATCATATCAAACGTCTCTGTCGCAGATTTACCGAGTTTCACACAGAATTTAATCGCGTACCTCTGCTCTAACACGTCGCGCGAAAATGCCTGTCCTGACTCTCCAAGTGCTCGGAGACAACTGACCAGCCGCTCATTCGTTAGCTAAGAACGCCCTCTACCGAATCCAGTCGATGCGCGCACACTCCGAAGTACAGTCATGGAGGAAGAAAATGAGTCCTATTACTTTCCAGACAAACCCTGTACGTGACGACGTCAGTGGTATTTGGATTGCTGTGTATGTGTTTGCATACTTCCCAATTTCATGTTGGTTGGAATAGTGATTTATAAAAATATGAAAAATCACGGTCATGTGAGATATAACAATGTGTCATCGGTAATTTTTTCAAGATTATTTTCTAAAAAACACGTTTTTGGGGTTAGGGGGTTATAGTTCTGAAACTTTGGATAAGGTGAATTGACCCTGCATGCCTTAGCATGGGACGATCCAAATTTGTATACCTTTAGGGGCAGTTTACATATACGAGTATAAATACCTGCCCGGGCAGCGACAAGCAAATAGAAGATCGAGTGCTCGTGTTTATTTTGACGTACAGAAAATGAAATTTGAATAGAAAAAGTATTCAGGAGACTTTAGGTTTATGCGGGATCCAGAGGTGACATTTTATGTGATGTCATTTTTCGAACATAACTTTCCACAAAACATTAAATCAAAAAATTTCGTTTCATTATAGCGATATTGAAGAAACAGTTACTTATTTTTTCAAACAGATCAAGTTATCAGGCTGAAATTCGGGGTGATAAGTGTTATATTTTTAATTAATTGTGGGGTAATGTAATATAAAATAAAATCACTATTTTCCGAAATAGGAGAGTCTCAGGCGGTTAATGTTGAGTGTTGTTGTAAAATGTAATAATATATGGTTTATTCTAGTCAAGGGATTGTCAAAAACTGAGTATCCCATATTTTATTGGACACTCAGTTAGATCCTTTATAAAAAAGATTTGATACTATAACGTTTTCATAAGTGATTGTCGAGTGATACACGAGCACTCAATTGACAGCCCGCAAATAAGCTATTTTGGATGATAACTTCATACTTTTGGGCCATAAAGTACAGATACGGGCTCTAAAATAAGATATTACATGATCCTCCATTCTCGAAAAAAAGTTTTAAGACGGAGCCCCGCAGTCATCTCAAAATGTTTTAACTGTTACTACTACATTACATATAATATCTATGAATCAATTTCATCGCTACCAATTTCAGCTCACTAGCTTTACCCACTCAAATTAGTAGAGGGATATTTTCATCTGACAACGACGACAAATGCTTCACCCTTTCTGAAACACGACGTCGGACAATATAAAAAACTTATTAAAAATTTATTCCGGACTATACAGGGTGTTTCAGAAAGAACAATATTTCTAGAGTAGAAAGTACATTCAAAAATAATAAAACAAATAAATATGAGCCCAAAGATGTTCTTCTACCGAGACACAGGGTGATGAACTTTTGTTGACTAAATTATAAAAAAAATATATCTACGGACCGGTACAGACCCCGAGTTAAGGTTTTAGAAGTTCAACATCACCAATAAATATAATTGTGGAACCAACCAATTTGAGTAAAATTCTTATTATTTTAGTTCTGGAATTATCGGCCTCCTTTTCTGAAAATTCTTTTGCATTTCGGATTAAGTGAGCTCAACAAAGAAGATATCACAAATCGTTAGCAAGCTCGGACACAAAGTATGAGCAGGAGGATAACCATATACTTCATTTCATTCTCATAGTTTATAAACGAAAATGAATTTGCCAGCAAAGGCAGTGTACAGGAACTGTTTAGCGAATGGTAAGTTTATACGGTATGTACTTTCTACCCTAAAAATATTGGCAAGCCTTTCTGAAACACCCTGTATGAAACAGATACATATATATATATATAATTTTAGACCTGGTTTCATAGTCAATCAGCTAGTCGAATAGCTGTCCTTTTTTATTTTCTCTCACAGAAATTACCAGCAATTTAATCGAAATCGATGACATGCGTTGAACCTTTGAATCGGTGCGGCGTGACGTCATTAGTCGACAAATCGTTGAGCACGTGTATATTTGTATCAGTTCTGAATAAGTACAAATAATTGCATATAAACGTTCGTATCTATACCGGGTGTTTCAAATTCGACTCGCAGTATTGCGATCTTGATCACAATTGCGAGTATTTCCGGAGCCGGAAAAAAACAATTTTTCCAGTAGCGCTTTTATTTTTTTTGACTTTATTTCAGATTCGATTTCAAAATAGAATGTTCATTGACATTGCTACTTTTTCTCTTCTACAATATGGTATGATTAGGATTTCAATATGAAATGTTCGTCTCCTATCCTCGATCATCAACCTTTTTTCTTTTAAGAATGCCTTACTGGATTTTTACACAGGCGAATAGAGCTTTTAATTCTGATTCCCAAAAAAGTATATGTCATACATTGATATTGCCAAACCAAAGTTATTTGAAACAACAAAATGTACTAAGTAGGCCTTGAAATGATTGTTATTTGTTTCATAATATCATCAACAAACCGTTCCTTCAGTTTTTCTGAACTAGGCTTTGGCGAACAGGTGATTTTGTACAGAAGAGGGACCTCGGTTGGCCGCGTGGGTCAGAGTGTCGTGCTACTGATCAGCCGGCCGGCCGGGCCGCGAGTTCGAATCTCGCCTTCGCCATGGATGTTGTGTGTTTGTTTTAGGCAGCAGCGGTGGCCGCAGTAGTAGACTCTTCGGTCTCCTGATCAGTCGCCGTGCGCTGTGCGGGTTTCGAGTCCCGTCCCAGGAGAAATTTTTCTCTTGGCTATGGATGTTGTGATTGTCCGTAGGTGGTAGATGGTCTCTGACTGTCGAACGCGGAGGTACCACCCGGCGGTTCTCGTAGGCGGAGCCAGAATGTGTGCATGTTGCATGCACGCGTGTTCCCTCGCCAGAGTCCGTGTGGCGTCCCCCCTTTTCCCATGTATCCCCCTATAGCCCCACGGTACCCAATGGGTGCTTAGGCCTTAGGCCTTCGTGGTAGTTGGAGTATAAAAAAAAAAAGATCATGACGTGGGTTGATATTATAAAACTTCAAATGTCTTTGAAGGTAATCTTGCTATAGTTGGTCAGCTGGTCTCAACTCCTCGCATAAAAAATAACATAATGCTGAAAATGTCGATAGCATTTAATAGTAGTATTGAAAATAGTCAAATTTTATGTAACTGGGAGAAATGTTGTAGGGTAAATTAAAGCTTTGACGATTTTGCAGCTTCCTAAATACATGTCATATCTAAACCAATGCATACATATTGCATTCAAGTACGGGTACTAACAGACATCTTATTAACGTCATTTTCAAGGCCATGTATGAAAATATTAGTTTCTCAAGCTTTACAATGTCAAAGCAAGATTATTGAAGAAATACTAATTACAAGCCCATTATGTGGAGTTTACTAAACATATTTTAAGTTGAATACAGGCATTTTGCCAAGAAACATCTAAATAGGTAAAGCTTGACCTATCACCGCCTGTGGTATGCAACGCACTAAAGCGTCAAACCAAAATAATAACTGAAGGAATAATTATGATTTATTATAATCATAATACCCTGAACACAGATGCAGATAATTACCCCAAAAACAAGAATTCAAAATTAGTTTCATAACCTCTTTGCAATTCTGATAAAATCATTCAGTGAACAGAAAAATGTATCACAACAGCCGGAGACACAGTTTAATTTACCACACATAACATAGACAGGAAATAAAATGTAGCATTACGCCGAGATGAATATGAAGGGAAGGGAGGAGGGAAACAACGCCGCAGTGTATCTTATGCTCTAAACTAGGTATTACAAATCTATTACAAGATTCATGATTAATGACTCCCCTTTCGGGATAAATACCGTCACCTGCAAAGAAAAGGAATTTAAGAAATTTGCTCTGAACTCATTCAACACAAACCTTGTACACTTCATAATATGGATTCCATATAATTCTGTCAAGTTTAGATCTAATGTAAGTAAAGTATTTTAATAGTGCTGATATATCAAAAATAACACCCCAATCCCTAATCTAATCAGGTTCTCTTCATCAATATTGTATCTCAGATTTATGATTGCTTTCTTCCTTGTGAAACTGTCCCCCTTACGCTTATCTACATTTAGTGTTGCTACTCCGGTTTTGAATAAGGTCAAGCTGGCTCAGAAGTTACAAGCAATCAGTGATATAGACAAAGCGCGATATATTTTTAAATCATCAGCGAATCCAAGTTTTTATACTGTTAAAGCGTCCAGTAAATCATTTATAAAAATCAGACATAGTAACGGTCCCAATTTTGATCCCTGCGGAACACCAAATATAGCACCATAGGCTTTCGACTTAAACCCATTATACCAGTCAACCTGTTTCCTATCTGTCAAGAATATCATAAACGTCACAGCCTCATCAGAAAATCAAAAATCTGTTAATATGTCATGTTGTAACAAAACATTCTCGAATGACTCCCCTATTGTAATGCAGAAGTCTCCCAATGTCAATGGGGTCGACCGGTGGACTATAAAGACATTCCACGAGTTGTCTTCTTTATAGAGAGTAATTGCATTAGGAGTATATCAAAACCTTACCTTTGTGCAATTGCAGCTCTTTCCAGCCGATCCCCCACCATCGAGCTCGCCGTAGAGCTGCATCGGGAGCTGTCCGCGCTGACACCGACCTTGCCCTTTTCGGCCAACGAGATTAGGTCGTAGCCCGCCCAAGGTGTCGCGAAAACCTGTTCGTCGAGAGCTGGCTGGTAACCGATTCTGGTGGTCTTGGGGATTTCTGGGACCAGGACTTGCTGCTTGTCGATGTTGGGCAGATCGAATACGTCGATCGGATTTGATTTCACTGAAAAGGGACAAGAAGTTACGAAGAGCATTAAAAAACAACACCAAAGTACTACTCACAGGTGAAACAGGCGCTCCAGAAAATTATAGGCCATATAATTTAATCGACAATAGACACGTTAATGCATTTTTAGAAATATATCCTTTTTTTCAATTATCCCTGTTCTTTTCAATAAAGTGCTTAGTAATTGATGTCATATCAATCTAGCCATTCGATCAGATTTGATCTACGATTCGGGCAGGGATTAAAAGCTCCTCACTAGTATTATATGAAAAACCTATAAAACGTCAAAAAAAACTATAAAATGACATCTTGCAGACTAGGTAGTTTTTAGGGTGCAAACAGTCATTCCACGTTTGCTCACTAGGATCGTTGTGAGCGTCCATCTATGAAGGAATAGCTCAACTACAAGCATTGTTAATTGCATATATATTTTGTGAAGCCGAATAGTCTATAGTTTTTATTTCTGAGAAGAAAGTTGGTTGAATAGCCAGATCTCATCTGGATGATTGTATGTATTGGTCTGCATGTGTATAAAAAGAGTGATATTTGCTGTGTGAGAAAATCATTACTGAATATGCTGCCAATGAAGTATATCTATTAGCTGTGCCCGACGGGTTATGTATATGTTGTCTTTTCTGAAGGTTATGTTCAAAGTTAAGAATAATGATTTTTTACGTTTTTTGTGCTTTCAAAAACTTTGAGGACAATTACGGGCAATCGTCACCGCGCCCGCGTTGTGTGTAATTACTGTTAGCATGTATATGACTTATAATTCGACAGTTTACAGTGAATATAATTATCTTATCTCTGTCATTTTTCAAATTCGGCAAATTTGCATATGTAATTTCCAGAATGGATAGGAAAAAGTGGATGCGCTACTAATTTCTAGCTTTGAATCTCAAGTAAGTGTATTTGAGACAAGAATCCAATGGAATTATCATCAACACGTATTATTATTATTACATCACATCACAGCCAAACATTGATAACTGAAGCCTGATGACGCTTAGGCAACACGTACAACTACAAAACGAGTTCACAACGTGTCTATTAGCTAGTGCTAAGTTAACATCTGTACATGATGTCAAAAAAACCAATATTATGTCAAAAAAAAATCGATATAACGTCACGTTTCAAGATACGTAATACCCGTGCCGCTCTGATTGGCCAATTTCCGATCCAGTCTTACGAAAAAGCTTTATTTGTCTTTGTTGATCCAAATCATAGGTTTTTATCAATCGAAAAATATTTTTGTAGTTAGGCTAGGGATTTATAAAGAGTTTCTTGATATAATATGGGGATTAGAGACACTTCTCACAAAAATCATATATTTTTTCGTTGGTTTGAGAGATATTTTAGGAAAAGTCGACTATACTCATTAGATACATTACTAAAAAGATGCCTTCTGATTGGTCCACGTTGATCCGAACCAAAAATTTTGATCTGTTAGTAAAATCGGACCTTAGAATAAATCTCACAACTCTAATAGGCCCAGAATTCTAATTTAACAAAACTAGCGCTTTTTGACTTAGTACGACAACGTTATGAAAAAAGGTGGGTTTTATTTAAAAAATCAACTTTGGTGGTTCGTGGAACTTTCCTGATATTGTTCGTTTAAATATCGATTAAAGTCTGTTAAATGAGTCCATCCTTTAAGGAAATCATTGCAAATTGTATAAAAAAGGCACAAATACAAAAAAATCATTTATTATGTTTATAATTTCGTATAGAATCCAAAAATGGAATAGCAAAGAAGACGTTCTATTCAAAATGGGCGATTTGGTATTTAGCTTAAAATTAAATATCAATAATGTATTTTTAATGTGTTTTATATTTTTAATAATGTGTTTTCAATATATTTTTACGTTGTTTTTAATATCTGTGTGATGTTTACCTTTCCTATACCTTCTCTAAGTCTACTGGAATAATCCATTAATGATTTATTTATCTACGTCCGTTACAACCAAAACCACCATGACTGTTACACCAAATTATCTTTAATTAGCTAATGCCCTTCTTTTCAAGTAATCTATCGCCACACTTCTTCGTGGGACACCCTGTATTGGTGGTGGTGAAGCCACTCGCTGGTATCGTATGGCACTCTAGTACTAGTGGTCGATGTTACGGACCTTTAAAGCAGATTTACTCGGGAAGTTTAGTCCTCGCCAGCCTTTCTCAGCCATTTTCAGTCGCAGACCCCTAGAAAGTCAATCCCAATTTTCGATGATCTCTTGAATCCCCACTCATCTTCAATTCTCTGCTCTATTATTTGTACTCGCCACCTCCCACCCCTCAATGGTCTACTCTAGGTTATTATCACCCCCCTTACTTTTTAATTGCTTCCTACAAGATTTGTTCTGTGACAAAAAAAGACGCAACGTTTTATGAAACAAGCTTCTGGTTCTCGTTTTCACTCGGTCAGATATACAGATCTTGACTTTTCCTGATTTCACTGTCAACTCAGAATTGGTACAAAACTAGAAGCTTTCTTAGCAATCGTGATGCTTCTCTATTTAGACTCTGACCACACTACTCCAGTATATATAGACTTACCTATTTTGACCTTCCCAGTAGGTGTACCATTCAAAGCAACTTTGCTGCTAACGATTTCCTGCTGACTGGCGGTAGGGGGATTGAACCCATCTTCACAAGAGGTTTTTCCACCCCTAGTCCACCACCAAGGCTTCCTGTTGCGAACGTACACCAAAAACACCACTGCTAAAACCCCCAGACCTGCGAAGCCTCCAAGCAGCGAACTGCCGCTGGATCCTTCTGTTGCTCCTGGAAGTTAACATATGCTCAGAACTGTACTCGTTAGGTCAGACTTTGGTTAGGTCTTATACGCAGGAATATCTAGATGAACCCTCAAATTCAACAAAAATAGATTAACGATAGCGTAAGTTTGTTAAAAGCGAAAGCACTATTATAACATGTGGTTCAACGGTAATACGGACCTCCAATAAGCGCGAGAGGAAATTTTCAATGTGGACGGTTGCAGTATATCCTACACATCAAGATACCATAACTGCGGTAACGAAGTTGAGGATATACAGGGTGTCCCGAAATAAGTGTGCAATATTCTACCATTCTAGAGCTTAAAATAGGAAGAAAAATTCATATAAACATAGGTCGACAAACGTCCCCTAAGGGCGCTACGGTCTTTTAAAGGGGCTCCCCTGAATATGGTTTTTCCTTAATATTTCCGAAACGTGTTGAGATAAAGACATAAAATTTGGTATTCTAACCTAGTATTTTATGCTGGATTTAAAAATATTAACAATTTTAGACAGTTTTGTTTGGAAGAGTATGTAACAGGGACGGACTGAGGTTTTTTTAGCCCCAAAATTTTTGAGTGATTCTATTTTTGAAAGTCAATTTTAGAATTTGAAAATTTAGGATTTTCTACATAACAAAGATACTCTTATTGAATATTGTGCCACTTCTGAATAAAATCAAACTAAAAAATTTGTCACATGATAGGAAATGCATTGCGAATTTGAATGAATTGTTGCATAATTAGCCATGGCAACGACAAAAATAATTCAATAATTGGTGAATATTACACAAATACATATTTCTATTGCAACATAGCTAACATTTAGGCAAAAACTAAAGAAACAAATTTTTTCTACGAACGAAATTCAAATATGTTCAAAAAAAGTCATACAGTTGGATATACTTAAAACTAGCTTTACAATAAGTGTTCAAATAAATTCCCATTTTATTGGATACAGAGTCTCGCTCGACGAACGTAGCCCGAAAAGTGGAAAACCTTTTTCTTCTTATTTCATTTGCAGCCTGATGGATTCTTTGAAGTAAATCTTCTTGAGTATTTACTTCGGTCGAGTAAACTAGGTCTTTTAATGACCCCCAAAAATAGAAATCCAATGGACTTAGGTCAGGTGAACGTGGCGGCTACGCTATAGGACCTCCTCGGCCTAGCCACCTGTCTGCAAAATTGACATTCAAGCAATTTCGAACATTGCGTCCAAAATGTGCAAGGGCGCCATCATCTTGAAAAAACATATTTTCTTGAAACTGCTGGCGCACATCCAATGGTATTATATCCATGAGCTCATTCTGAAGAAAGTTCAGATACACCTCTGAATTAAGACGATTGGGAAGTACAATAGGCGCAACTACTTGATCCCCAATTACTCCTGTCCATAAGTTCAATGAAAATCTATGTTGGAAATTTGTACGGCGAACAACTTTTGGATTTTCATCTGACCAGTGATGCATGTTATGGAAATTAAAAGCACCATTCCTAATAAATATTGACTCATCCGACCATAATATTCTAGGAATAGTGTTTTCATTTCCTAATATCCACTGGCAAAACTCGATTCGTGGTAAAAAATCTGCCTCCGTTACATGCTGCACCCGTTTAAAATGATAAGGATGTATTCCTTGCATTCTTGTCATTCTTCCTATCTAAAATTATTATTTTTAGAATAACTATCAAATAGGTATTCATAAATTTTTCTTACTATTGATCGTGGTATATCCATAATTTCTGAAACATTTCGTATGCTTATTTGCGGATTATTTTCAAACATATTTAAAGCAATATCCATACGATGATTTCCCAGTGGCCTTCCTGAGCCCTGCATGCGCTGAAAACTTCCATGGTTTGACAAATTCCGGTGAATATCAGTAAACATTCGACGTCCAGGTACTATGCGATTGGGAAATCTTCTTTGATATACTCTTACGGCTGCCAATGAACTGCCATTGCAAAACCCGTACACAAAATGCATGTCAGTCAGTTCTGTCTGTAAATCTTGCCATTTTAAATCGATTTAATAAAAATTTTGATATTAATCTAGTAATTTTACACTGCTAACAATGGCAGCTTAACGTCAAAATAAGTCATAACAAATCAAAACAACTTTTGTTTGCAGTCATGGCTAACTATGTATAATCAACAATTCATTTAAATTCGCAGTACATTTCCTATCATGTGACAAATTTTTTAGTTTGATTTTATTCAAAAATGGCACAATTTATCGATATTCAATAAGAGTACCTTTTTTATGTAGAAAACCCTAAATTTTCAAATTCTAAAATTGAATTTCAAAAATAGAATCACACAAAAATTTTGGGGCTAAAATAACCTGAGTCCGTCCCTGTTCGTTACGCTTCCAAACAAAACTGTCTAAAATTGTTAATATTTTTAAATCCAGCATAAAAAACTAGGCTACAATACCAAATTTTATGTCTTTATCTCAACACGTTTCGGAAATATTAAGGAAAAACCATCTTCAGGGGGGCCCCTTTAAAAGACCGTAGCGCCCTTAGGGGACGTTTGCCGACCTATGTTTATATAAACTTTTCTTCCTATTTTAAGCTCTAGAAACCGCTGGTAGAATATTTCACACTTTTTTCGGGACACCCCGTATTGCTGATCCTAACGTTAGCATTTCTAAGAAAAACCTCTTCTGTCAGATTGTTGCTCAATCGGGATAGTCTATAAATGATTGAGAAGTCGAAACTGTTGATCCATCATAGAGTTACAATAAGTTGTAGAAATATTAGGCAGATATAGAGTGAAGTAGCGCCTGTGGGCGTTAGCAGGAAACTTTCTGATGGGTGAACGATCGTCATGAAGGGATAACTTTCTGTGAAAGTGTACCTGCTCCTAATACATTTTGACGAGCGAGGGTAGCAAATTTTCTGAAGAAATAGAAAATTAATTGTACACAAAGTCACAGGAGGGCCCATAATAGCATCATGGAAGGTAAATAACTCAATAAAATACACTTTTAAAAACAAGCTTTGATTTAGCTTTTAATAAACTAAAAATTTAAAAACATTTTTTTCTGATTGGAAATATTTAAAAGACACTGAAGCTCCTCCATCTCAAATTTTCAAATACGAGCGTCGTTATATTATTAAACAATTTCTTTTAAATGCTAAATAAAAACTTGTTTTTCAAAATACATTTTTTATTTTTTTTTCTACCTTTTTGTATTTATGTCAACTGCCTAGTTTGACAACTTCTATATGATTTTCATCTATTGTATTAATAGAACTTCCTACTTGATTTGTAATAAAAAATTCCGATGGATATAAATCATTTAACGATAAATCGATATTTTGCGGTGATCGGCATATGGAATTTAAAATGACGTCATTTGGTTATTGTGTTTCTCTTATTAAGCCCTTTCATTTGATGCCTCATGTCATAATAATTTAATTACATGCGTCAAGTTAAACGAACAATGTTTTGTTAAGTTATTCTTTGGGAGCAAAAGAAATTATTTATAACGATAAATACGTATTCACACATAATAGAATTATTACATAAAAAACTAAAGAAGCAAGCATCATAAAAGGTTATAAAGGATAAATGGGCAGAACTTGTATCATACATAGAATAAAAGCAGTATAGTTTAGAAACTGCTTTTTCACTTTAAGAATTGATTTTTTTACACGGAAGCAGCCTAAATGCCAGCACACCGCGGCTGCTATGAGGATCCCAAAAAAACTTTGTTAATCCGATGTTTGAACTGTTTAAGGTTAGTAGAACTAGAAAAAGCCTTTACTTGTAGATGGTTCCTCAATCTCGATACCCTAGGGACAAAGGAGCGGTCGTATCGGCTAGTTCTGAACGTACGAAGTTCGGCACGCTCATAGATGGGAGGCTGAAGACATGGGCGGCCGGTTGGTGGGCATATCGAGCCTCGGCATCATGGAGAAGAGCTCTGAGGAGCAAAGCCCGTTGGTGTAAAGGTAGAAGAGAGCTAGATCGCCGATGGCTCGCCGGTGCGAAAGGGTCCCGAGACTGTCTGTTAGAGAAGAGACATCAGTCGGACACCCCTCCTCTGGATGGCATCGAGCATGAATAATGTAGTATGAGCAGCAGCACCCCAAACGTGTGAGCAATACTCAAGGCTAGGTCTTATCTGGGCTTTGTACAGAGTGTGGAGGTCAGAAGAAAAGTACTCCTTAGCCCTGAACAAATGGCATAGCTTTTTTTCAGCAGCTGCGGCTATTGATGGCATGTGTTCGTGCCAGATGAAGTCCTCGGTGATCTGGACTTCGACCAGCCAAAATAAACAGCTCTTTGGAAGAGCTCAGCGATCCATCGAAACCGCATGCTGCTTTTGTTCTTAGGAAACGTAATTAATATAAAATACTTGACGAAGTTAAAAAACAACTATTTTTGTTAAATAACGTGATCAATAATATATTTTGTAATTGTAACTATAAAAGAAAAGTATGGCAGCAAAATTAGAAAAAACAGTAAATTAACTCCACTGCCTTTTACCCAAGTACGGCAGTGTGGACGGAATCACTTGTACAATGAAGCATGCTCAATGTGAAACAATTTAACAGAGCTGCAACCAATATCTACACTAGATCCGTCCACTATCTCATAGCTTACAACCTCAGAGGAGATCAGTGAGCCATCTGCATAGCTTTGCTGTAAAGTCTTACGACGATTTTCGTAAGAGGGCTACATGTCACAGCCGATCAAAAGCTTTTGTAATATTAAGAGCAATGACTTAAATTGTTCGGCCTCTGCTTTCCATCTTCGAGTTCCATATAGTGGAAACTAGACCCGTTTAATCACTGCTGCATTCCCAGGGTATCAAGAACGTGAAAGCTTTTTCCGTTTCTAATGACGACAAACTCTTGTGTTAAAAACCTAATATATAATAATAATAGCTCTTTTAGCTGCTACAGTTTAGACCTTTACTTGTTTGAAATCATTTCAATGGTATATTCATGTACACCCAAGAAAACATGACATTGCAGCGGGTTTCCATTGAATG